GTACAAGTATTTTTGCTGTTCTTGGGGTTTCTGGAGCGTTTCCTTTACTTCATGCTGCAAGTATGCATGGCGCTCGTACTCTCTATCATACTGTCTCGTTTGATTATATCATTACCATGGGTGGAATGTATCTTTTGGGTGCCTTTATTTATGCTTATAGAATTCCTGAAAGATGGTTTAAAAATATGTTTGATATTTGGGGTCATTCTCATCAAATTTGGCATTGCTTGGTACTCGGTGCTGCTTGGATCCATTATTGCGCTGTGGTGAGAATGTTCGAGTGGAGATCTCTTCATGATCCATCCTGTGCTCATGTGTCATTGTAAACTGCTCTAGTTGGTTCTTTTATTCAATCCGTTTACCATCTCCTCAACCCACTATTGCATACTTAATCTACTGGTTTCCAAAATGATGCCATCAAACATGTTTTGATTTCATTTCAGCAACTCAAGGCAGATTAAAAATAAACTCATGTGTCAATGACAAACCGAATTTATTTAAAACATCAGTTCAGAGTATTTGGGGAATGGCCAGTACTTGTCAGTCATCAAGTTTTCAAGTAAATCGGTCGTGGTGCGGACCTTTTCCATGAGTGCAATCAACTCGGTCGAAACAAGATCAGCCTGGGTGTGCTCGTCGGCATCATTGATCTTGTCAATTAAACTAGCAAGATTTTCACCTGCAGTGTGCAGCTCCGAAGTAAGCACAAAGATCTTGTCAAGAGTAATCTTTTCAGGCAGCTTGGAAACATCGTATCCAATCTGTTTTTGAGCAAGAATAGACTCTGCCAAATCCTTGCGATACTGATAGATGGCAGGAAGAACACCATTAAACGTCATGGTCTTGAGAGTGTTGCCCTCAATGACAAGATCCTTGACATACTTTTCAACCAAAATATGGTAACGCGACTTGACTTCAATTTCAGTCATGATACCCTGAGAGACAAGAAGTTCAAGATGTTGAGGTTCAAGTAGTTGCTTAAAGGCTAGTGGACATGACTTGATATTGGGAAGACCGCGACGGGCAGCTTCATCAATCCATTCCTGGGAGTAGTTGTTTCCTTCGAAACGAACAGGTTTGCTCGACTTGATGAAACCACGAACAACAACAATAATGTCTTCGACAGAAGGTGCAGCCTTGGATCCCATCTGCTTGGTAAGAGCAGCAGTGACAAGTTCAAGAGAAGCCGCGACCGCAGCATTCAAAAGAACAACAGGGAACGATGGAGACTGCTTGGAACCAACGGCACGGAACTCAAACTTGTTACCAGTAAACGCAAAAGGAGAGGTACGATTACGATCAGTCAAATCACGAGCAATCTGGGGAAGAGTGGAAACCTTGAGATCGAGAACGGTTCCTCCAACTTTGACAGTAGTCAAATGGGGCTGGGAGAAACTCTTGACCTCACGATTTTCCTCGACAGCATCAAGGACATCAGTCAAGTGATCGCCAAGGAAAGCAGAGACGATTCCTGGAGGAGCCTCGTTAGCACCAAGACGATGCTCATTGGATGCAGAGGCAATGGAAGCACGAAGAAGACCGGCATGCTTATAAAGCGCATCCAAAGTTGCAACAAGAAAGAGAAGAAAACGGTAGTTTGTTTCTGGATTGCGAGTAGGCTCAAGCAGATTGTCACCCGAGTCAGTGGACATGGACCAATTGCAATGCTTTCCAGATCCGTTCACACCTTTGAAAGGTTTCTCGTGGAAGAGAACCTTGAGCTTGTGACGGTGAGCAACTTGGTGAAGAGTCTCCATCAGCAACAAATTGTGGTCAACGGCAACAGACGCCTCTTCAAAAATAGGTGCCATTTCAAACTGATTTGGAGCAACCTCATTATGGCGAGTTTTAATGGGGACTCCAAGCTTGTATAGCTCAAGCTCAGTCTCGCTCATGCAGGCAAGAACACGGCTGGGAACTTGACCAAAATAGTGATCATCCAACTGCTGATGCTTTGGAGGAACCTGGCCAAGAAGAGTTCGTCCAGTAGTCTTGAGATCTGGACGCAAATTATACAAAGCTCTGTCAATTAAAAAGTACTCTTGTTCAGTGCCAAGAGTAGCAGTGACACTTTTGGTATCTTTTTCGCCAATCAAGTGGAGGAGCTTGACAGCGGCACTGGAAAGAGCTTCAGTAGAGCGCAAAAGGATGGTTTTTTCGTCCAATGCCTCGCCATTGTAAGAAATAAAGACCGAGGGAATGTATAAAATGGTGGTCTTGTGTGGACCATGGCGCAAAAACATAGGGCTGCATAGATTACAAATTTCAAAAGAAATTGAAAATAAGTCGATAGATCTAGACCAAATTGATTAAACTGTAGAGTAAATTACCTGGTAGTATCCCAAATAGTATATCCACGAGCCTCAAAAGTAGAACGCATACCACCGCTGGGGAACGAAGATGCATCAGGCTCAGATTGAAGAAGTTGAGAGCCAGAAAATGCATCAATAGGAGTGGACTAAAAGTTTGAAACCGTGTTAGTGCATTTGACCAGAAAGTTTAAACTCGACAGAATTCAAGATGAAATGCTTACCTGCTCAATACCATCGTGGTTATTGACTTTGAGGGTCAGGAAAGAGTCGTGCTTCTCAGCAGTAGTTCCAGTCTAAAACACATGATTAAAGGTTAGATCTACGAATACAGCAACGAAATCAAATGGCAGTTGATGACAAACCTGAGGCTGGAACCAATGAGTGAAATGAGTTGCACCTCTGTCCATGGCCCATACGCGGACAGCATGCGCAATAGCATCAGCAGTACCACGGTCAAGAGGAGTACGACCCTAATGAGTTGGTATATCGGTAGATTTTCAACAGTCAAAATAAAAATGAATATCAGACAATATCCAAGCAAAGAAAGCATAAAATATGTAAAAACACTCCGCCCAATGTGAGACACCAACAAAACCCTGGCCATTCCGTCAAGCGGAAGTCGAGGTAAAATGACCAGTTTTCAACCACTAGCAAAGCTGGAGACACACGCACTAGTCAAGAGACAGTGCAATAAAGGACTATTGACACAAGAGACACTCAAACAGTCTCCTGTGTCAATAGTAGATCTAAGCAGTAGTTTTCAATATTGGACTCGAACACAAGGAACTTGAACAGATGTCTCAGCATGTATCCCAACTATCCAGATGAAGAGAAAAAGCAGATTGCCTCGACTCTCGAGTGGGTGTTGTGATGGTGATGCATTGGTATAACTATCAAGACAAAACGTAGAGACAGCAGATGGTATCGGTAGAAATACCAATGTGATTCTGTTTACAAATGTCTCACTCTATACCTTGATCTGCTGAAGATATTTTTGATAGATGGGCTTGGGAAGAGACTCTTGCATGGCCTTGAGAGTAAAAACATTAGTATTGTAGATCTCTGAGCAGTAGGAGTGACGGTTTCCAGTAGAGGGCCATTCGACGACTCTTCCAGGTTGAGAGGTCGAGTTCAGAACAGCATTGACTCTTGCTTGCTGGGCCATTTGTTGATGCAGTAAAATAGATGGGTTCAATTTGTTACTCAAATTACTGGACAATTTAAAGCAATTCACTGGCAGTTTAACTTGAAAAGTCGATTCCAGCAAGTTGGATTGAGTTGCTTCTGATGTTTAGCAACAGTCAAACTGTTGTAACAAGAAACATACAGTTGATTTTCTATCTGATTTAAACTCATGAACTTTATAATAAGATATTTAAAAGATTGATTAATAGTATTTATTTGAAAACCCTTTGGCTTATCTACGTTGAAGTCGCTGGAACATTTGCACATTCCTTTTTAGTGCGTGAACCATAGAAGCCAGAACCAGCAACACCCACTATATTGTCAGGTGTTAGATAAGACAATTGGGTAATTGAAAGAATAATACATTTTAAAACCTACTGGAAACAAGCAAGCAGACTAAGCCAACGATCGCAGTGTAGAATCCTGCACCAGGCTGGATAGAATGAGAGTAGCTGGCACGCTCGATTGAAATGCGGAGGGATTGGGAAATAAAAATAATAGTGATAACTATCGCAATAGCTATGTTTTAGTAGTTTAACCATTTCATGTTAGTATTCGACTTTAGGTTTAAATAAATGATCCAAAATACAGCAATTTAAGTACCAGTTAAAACACCGAGAAATAAAATACCACCTCCGACCGACTTGAGCACCTTGCTAGGAAGACGACCGCTAAATTGCATAGCAGACATCGCTATCAAAAACAGCAAGATAAAGGCAACACTGACTGCGCTAAACGACTTGGCCAACATGAGATTGTTGCAGGCACCGTTACGAGGAGATGCACGATAGCATGTCCATCTGCAGCCGTCTTCGTCACAGCTTGAAATAAGGCCAATATAGTCAAGCTCATTATCACGATGGCTAGATATATTTAAAAGTCGATTGTGCAGCCGTCAATAAATTTATGCATCAGCAATACAAAATCAAACAACTTACTCAAAATCCACTATTACTGGTGTACATAGTAAAAGAATCACCATAATGGCTGCAATAAGAGCCAAGATTCCAGAAACAAGTAATGGAATATTCAAGCCTTTTCCTTTCGCCATTGACAAAGTTTAAAATTTAATAGTTCAGTATATGATTGAAAAAACTTAATATTAGAAATAAACTATAAAGACCGTGCAAGATGCTAGCAATTCTAAATGTAAGAGGTTTAACGGAGGGCAGCATGCCAAGTTTATAACGATTGAGGGAGTACTGGTCCGTGTATCAGTGCACTACCCTGAACCAGTGCTTTGTGCCAAAAGGTACAGGACTGGACTCCCTTTTAGTTTGTGATAAAAGTCAAGCACGCGAGTTAAAAATTTGTGTGCGGTTCATCCTTGTAGCAGTTTTGGCTAATTTGTATAGGCAAACGCTTGCCAGCCGTCTTTGATATGCCTAGGCTTTTTAGCTTTTTGGAAATTACAAGGTTGTGCACCGTATCTCTTCATAATGGCATTAAAAACACCAAATATGAAAACCAAGTCGATTTACGTGTTACCACCAAGTTAGCATATAGCTGATTTCAAAAGATTATTGGCGTAGATTTGATACACCAATAATTACAGCCGAGAACAGAAGGGATGAAAATGGATAAACACTTGTTTATATAAAAACCCTCACTTTCATCATGTTCCAATACCATTCTGATGGCATTAAACAGACTGCTGCTGCCTTTTGGCAACGAAAACTATCCGTTTGCAAAGCTATACGATTAGTCTAGGTTAATACAGTCTATAAGCGGAATGTCAAGCTCGTGTCGGAACAAGACTAAATGAGGGACGCTGCTTTACATCCAATCGAGAAAAGCAGCAGGCCGTTTGGTAGAATGGCCGTATCAGCAAGTCGGATCTTTGTTGCGGTACAAGAAACACGATCGATAGATGTTTCTGCCCTTGAAACCAACAGATAATCTACTGACACCTGAAATCATCAAATAAGAAACAAAGGTGTGGTTGAGCGAGTTCTATGCAAATACTTTATAGTGATGGTTGCTGATAACATCTCCATTATCATACTTTTGCTGCTAGCTGCAATGTGATCAAAATATTAATTTATTTAAATTTAAACTTCATAGCGGGATTAGGGAGACTTGTCTGAGTACGGAGAGCTTTTACACCCTTTTGATAACTTTGATTAGACTTTTTAAACTGTTGGAATGCTTTTCTTAGTTTAGCTTTAAGACCTGCCACATTTGAAGGCCCACTAGCACTTTTACTAGACCCTGTACTTTTGATTTTCCTTTCAAGTTGCTTGACTCGTCTACGGTTTTTATCGTTGGTTACTAAAAGTTTAGTAACCTTATCCTGAGCTTGCTTTATTGCTTCTACTGTACCCGGAGCTGGCTTTTTTAAGCTTTTTACGGATTTACCTGGAGTCGGCTTTTTCGAACTTTTCACGGATGTACTAGTACTTGGCTTATCCGAGCCTTTTACGGTTGTAGCTGCAGTTGGCGTATTTGGACTTTTTACGGATGCAACAGTATCTGAGACTGGCTTATCCGAGCCTTTTACGGCTGTAGCTGTGGTTGGCGTATTCGAACTTTTTACGGATGCAACAGTATCCGAAACTGGTTTATCTGAGCTTTTTACGGAAGCGACAGTATCCGAGACTGGTTTATCCGAACTTTTTACTGATACACCTGAAGTTGGCGCATCCGAACTTTTTACGGATGCGACAGTATCTGATATTGGCGTATTCGAGCTTTTTACGGATGCACCTGAAGTTGGTTTATTCGAACTTTTTACGGTTGTGTCAGTATCTGAGACTGGTTTATCCGAGCTTTTTACGGAAGTACTAGTACTTGGAATGGGATTGGATTGTTCGGGTACAGGTGCAGGTGCAGGTTTAGGATTACTGACTGTATCGTCGAGTGGTTCCTTTAAAAATGAAGAAAATGCCTTGTTTTGTGGAATGCCGTTACTCTTTGGTTCAGTAATATCCTTGGCTGTAATAGCTGGTAAATCATCATTCCCTCGTTTAAAGAGTTTGGGATAGTCGATACCTCTAGAATGAATAGCAAGTCCATGTACGGCAATTGTATTAAATAGCATGAAGAAAACAACCATAAACATTCAGTTTTTAAATAGTATATAGTCGACTGGCTTCGGTTTAAGTTACTGTTCAAGATTCAAAAGGTCTTGTATATGCTCTGAGATTGGATCATCAGAAGTGCGACGGGAAGCTTTTATAAGATGTATTCAGACCAAGTGTGTAATGGACACGAGAATAAACCATACATAGCCATGCATCGTTTTGTATTACTAGGAGCTTGATGTTACAGGATGGACAAGGTAACTTTGGCCGGATAAGATTGAATTCTTAACGTTTGAATGTGCCACATTGTGATGGGTAAGCCATTTGAAGTGACGGATAATCCGGGCCACAAAATGAGATCAATTTTCCTGCTATATTTGTGTATGGGTTTTAGTAAGTATCCATTACAAGTGCATTTAATTCACCAAGTATGATTTTATCAGAATAAGAATTCATCAATCAGTTGGAATCGGTATCGCTCTCTGTTTCCATGCCAATCACCAGCAAAAAATACCAACCCACTAATGAGTTCATGGCACAATCTTGTCCAGTAAACTGAGTAATCATTCCATGAGACTGGCTGTGTATGATGCACTTTTGGAATTCTTGCCGAGTTCCATTTTACACGAATACAACTAGCCAATAGTAAATTCGACTCTAATCTTGTTTTATTGAAATTACGAATCAGATTGCAACCGACCAGCTAGATTAGTATGAGGTGAGCTTATGCCCTCTCCAATGCAAAATGCAGCCATCAGAGTCCAATATTCACTCAAGGCTCTCATTATTCCATTCAGTCCCTCGATATAATTAGTTAACCCAGCTTCAGTATTCTCTGATTTTAAAGTAAATACTCGTTCACGTTTGAATGCTGATGTAGCAGTAATACTTTTACCTTGGTTGATCAATCTGTATTGCTCCATAAGAAATGCACCAGTGGATCCACCACGGTACCACAGCTCAACAAGATGACTCGAGGAGGGTGATGGATGTGACTGTGGTGGGGATAAGCTCCGCATAAGGTGTCGATGCGACGTGCTAGTTCCAGCAGCAATCACCATCCTCAATCGAGGATCATCACCATAATCTGCTGTTTCATACATGGAGGTAAGCAATCTAGTTACAAATACAGGATACACAGCAGACGGATCATGCTGGAGCGAATTCTTGAGTTGAGTAGCCTCTGCTTTGTACATACTAGTGCAATCACCCATTTGAGCTCCTACTCCGTCAACCATCAATGCCAATCCAGTAGGTGTATCGTAGGAGAAAAAAGAAGTTGCTTTGATTTGCAGCGCCATGCATCGATCTTGGACTGGAGGAGTATCGTGCAATATCTGATGTTTGTTCAAACTCGTATTAGCAGAGATTTGAACTGTAGTAATTACTGGTAATGCGGGTATAAGCATAAAAGCGTGGACAACAAGTGCAGCATGATGGACAGTGTCGTGAAGCACCCATATACTCTGACGAGTAATATTGCGGTAGTTGTATGCCATTGAAGTGGAAAACAGATCCAGATCATTCCATGTGCGACCAGTGTGATTTTTAATAGGAATTAAACCTAAATACTTTGCCCAACCGACAGCTATTTTTGAATTGATGGCAGACAATGTGGCAGACAGACAAGTCGAATATTGAATATGTAGAATGGGAGCACAATTGCCTTTGTGTGACTCGACAATATGTTTGAATGAGCGAGAAAGTAGTCTAATATTAAGTAGACAACTCAGATCGAGTTGATCAATAACAAGTTGCCATAGCTCGACAGGAAGTGTAGTAGCATGAGTTGTAGATTGAGCCATGAGTTGAATGTAAGCAAAGTCACTGTTTAACCTCAAATGAGATTTGATCGTTGAGCGGGTGCGATCAGTAAGTTGGGTTTTGGCGAGGCAAGAATTTCATATTTGACGGACATTATTTGCATCTCAATGTCAGGCAATAAATATGGCAACCTACCAGATATTGATACAGAAACTCCAGACTTGTTCGAGTCTTCTGGTACCCTTCTTACACTACCACAGTCGTACACGGTTTTGGACACTTGCACTGACAGCAATCATTCCGATGACTATTCTGACAATGACCAAAACAACAACGATCCTGCTGATTCGTCAGATACTGGTCTTCACCAACTAGTTAGAGGTGGACCAACTCCTCTTCAGGCTTCTCAAATGTTTCATCAGGCCGCAGACAAGTCTTTGGAGTCGGACAACCGACATCGTTTAAACATGACAACCAAGCGTCGTGCACGCCACAACGACAGCGGAATGCTCTCCATTGCTCCTGCATCGACTCCAAATGAATCGATCTATGATACATACAAGAGATTGATGATTGAAGTAGAAATGCTTTCTCAAAACTTGCAATCTATCAAACAACAGCCATCATCTGTTGCTTCGAAAGTGGATGCAGATTATGTTGGACATAAGGATTTGCTGCAAAAAGTGTCAGAACTCAAAACTGAGCTTTTGACTATTGCTAATGATCCTCATCCGTCTGTTCTTGAACAAATTGATCCAGGAAGTACCAACAGAACTCAAACCAAAAAACTCATTACTGCGATTCAAGAATTTAAATCTTCAAGCATCGAAGCCAGCCATGACAGTAGCGCGACTCATTCCACTACCGATACCGTTCTTAATAATACCAATTTAATTACATACGAACTGTTTTATACTCCTAAATTGGCAGCTGATACACACAGGACCAAAGTGATTGAACTTGAATCCCGTTTAACCAACCTTGAGCGACTGATTGGCACGCATGTTATTGATCCAGCACATAGTGTGCTTAAAGACGATTTGCGCACATCGCTGTTTCGCAACAGTTCTACGAGTACAGATGAAGGCGGAGGTGGAGGTGGAACACTGATTGGCGCGCTGGAGCGAATTGATCATCGACTGTCGATATTGACTCAGCCTAGACTGCTTGAAGCAGTATCGAGAAGAGTTCAAATTCTACTTCCCGAACTTCACTTACTAAGTGAAGAAGCCAAGCGAGTTCAAAATGAGTTACCTCAATTGAATCTATCTGCCAACGAAATTGGAATGTTGGGAATTGAGCCCGAATCCAATCCTGGCAATCAAAATGATAAACCTAGTGTCGCTGTTGGTCACGATCATCCAGATGCACGAGTGAGATATTTGTACACGACGTTATCCCGGCTTGAGCCCGTGTCACATCTACTCCCACATTTGATATCCCGTATGCGAGCATTACAGAATCTTCACGCCGAAGCAGCTGTATTTTCTCAAAGTATCTCCTCAGTAGCTGCAGAACAGAAACATATCAATGGGATATCTAAAGGACTAGAAGATGCTTTGAAACAAACACTGATAAATGTGAGAGAGAATCAGACTGTTGTTGAACGCAATGTGGTTGCATTAGATCAACGCATCCAACGATTGGTAGATTTGATTTCCAAGAATAGTGGAGTATAATAAATAAAATATTATTGTAATTGGATTATTTTGTGATGATTGGAAATCTCAGAATGACAACTTTTCAATTCTCCAGTCAGCGACAATTGGGATGAGTTTTGAAAACCATTTATATTTCAACAACCCAATAATCAGGTTGCTATTGCAGCAAGTGGTAGCGCAGATTGTTCAACAAACTGTCCATATCAACAAGTTCAATGATCGCCGCGACACAGGAGATGTGAGTAATCTACTGATGTTTGAGATCATCAAACAAGAACCAAAAGTGTGAATGTATTCAAAAACTTGATATATGATACACACTGATGATAATTTCTTATTTTATTCTCTATTCTTATCCCGATTGTCACCAGCTGTGAAAGCATAGTAAATGGACACACACATCAAGTTTATGGTGGATTGCAGCGATTTACTTTTACTGTAAGTCGAGACACTCATTGTTGTCATTGGTTCTACTGATAACTCTTGTACAAGACTAATTATGAATTCATTATAATTAGACCTCAGCCCACACTTGCAACAGCCATTATCTATCATCACAAACATTCGCATTACTATTCCATCCATCCAACACTCTCACAAATGGATTCAGAGGTAGATATCACTATCACTTTTTGAAATATAATCAATTGGTTTATAGTTGTTGATCTTGTTTGAGCCAATTAGCTTCTTTCAGCAACTTGCCTTCATCTTGCATGTAAAACCACTGAAACCCCACGCAAGCTGCGCGACATCATCAATGTAGGTTATTACATTTCTACAAAACAATCAACAGGAACACCTACAGCACTTGTATTAGGAGAAGTAAGTTGACTTGTATCGTTCATATACATTGATTATCCTTCTAACTGTAGTGATTCATAAGACGTATTGGCAGCTCAAGGATACAATGCAAAAATCCGAAATCATTCTTTTGCGTATTCTTTCGTTTAATACAATGATCCATTTGCCTTATCAGTATATACCTGCCGTTATTTATTCTATAAGAGGACATGCTTCACAGCCTTATTTAAGACGTATTGCTCAATCGGCATTTATACTCGTAAACGACCTTGTTGCTTCTTTTGGTACATGGATGAAGATTGAATCTCGATGTGGTGAATACACTGCCGTGACAGTTGCTCTTGCAGCTGTTTATATCAATCTAGCCAGTGTCGAGTCAATGCCAATGTTGGATTTAAAGCAGGTGGGTTGATTATGTCTTGTATACTTGCTAGATTGACTGTTGATGCGTGTTTGATTTCATGATAGGTCTGTCGTGGCTTTATCCGTGAAGCACACATGCATTGGGTAAAAGGTAACTTGTGTAATGTCGACTTGAATTACAGACAAGTACTAATCCAAGAATAATGGTTTGAGAATGTAGAAACGATGCATGACATTCAAGATCTGACCGATCAGCTCATCAAACATTCCAATATACTGCATTCATAAATGTTTCATTTGTAAAGTGTTTCCTAATCTACTAGGCATTCGAAACACCACGAGCAACTACTGCTCCACTTTCTGCAAGTGTACGTCCAGTACCACCTACACCAACTTCATTGCCCTCACCAGTACCATCTGCTCCCATCATCATGGCTTCCTGCTCAGGTGTCATGTACGAAATATCATCCCAAGGATGTCGGTACAGTCCCTGTTTTAATCGTTTTTGATCCAAGTAATGTCCAATAAATCCAATACTTCTACCAAGTACAAACAATCCATTGAGTGTTCCAATACGTATATACTCTTCGGTTTCATCCCGACTGAATGCTCCACAGGATCGCAGCACATCTACAAAAGCTACACCAACAGCACCGTCTACGTTAAGAATAAGGTTGTCTTTTTTGCTTGTAGTAATCTTCTCTACTTCAATTGCATAGTTGAGAATATCACAGGATGGGAAGTTTTTCTGAACAAACTCCTTGACAATCGAGACTCGCAGATCTGGGTTGGTTCGTGATTTGATCTTGTGGCCAATGCCCAAAATAAGTTGATGCTTTTTGCGCATAGAATCCACAAACTCTTGAGGCGTAAGTCCCTGATCATATGCTTGTGAAAACAGCTGAGCTGCTCCATCAAGTGCTCCGCCAAATCGCTCTCCAATTGTCAATAGACCAGAAACAAGCGATGAGATCAGATCTTTTCCAGCACGGGCAGTGACAATGGTGTTGTGTGCTCCAGAAACTGCAGGACCATGATCGGCAGTGAGCATGAGAACCATTTCAATAAATTTGTTTGCATAAGAAGGCAAACGACGCTTGAACCAAAGAAGTGAAAGAACACCGCCTATACCAATCTCCTCCTTGAAAACCTCCGAAATGGCCATGCCTGCATAAAGCAGCTCCTGTCCACGATCATCACAAATAGTGGAGATGAATGAAGCGGGTTTTCGGATTAAACCAAGCTCTTGAGCCCACGAGTAGTCAATAGGAATCTTGGGTACAGGAGGCTCTACAAATGGCTGAATTTCAGACTTGGCAAGCATATTTTTGTAAACCTGAGCAAGAGTCTGAGGTAAATCCTCAAAAGTGGGGGGAACAATAACACCAGAATCAGCCAGTGCCTTGTTTTTAGCATCTGCGGTTTCCATGTTAGAGTTTGCAAAAGAGCCAGCATGGCCAAACTGTACATCGGTAGTGAACATCTTGGCGCAGGTACCAATACACCAAGCAACAACAGGTTTTTTGATATGGCCAGCCTTGACTGCCTCTGCAATGGCGTATTCTTCAACACCACCTACTTCACCAAGAAGAACCAGAATCTTGGCATTGGAGTCTGCTTCATAGCGAAGCATATGGTCAATAAACGTAGATCCAGGATAACGATCACCACCAATAGCAACACCCTCATATACACCATCAGTAGCGCGTGAAATAATGTTGTTGAGCTCGTTGGACATGCCGCCAGATTTGGATACATATGCAACAGATCCAGGGCGATACAGTTTAGAAGAAACGATATTGTCCATCATACCACCTGTATTGCCGATTTTAAAGCAGCCTGGCTTGATGCCACCGACAGTAGCAGGTCCAATAATCAGCACGCCCTTTTCCTTTGCCTCCCATAAAATCTGTCTAGCACGTCGCTCGGGAACACCTTCTGCAATAATTGCAATGGTTTTAATCTTGGGATACTGGAGCAGTTCACGAGTGCTTTCATAAACAGAGCGGAAGGATGCAAAGTTGATGACAATAGAAACATCAGGAAAGCGCAGACAGGCTTCAGCAATTGAGGTGTAAACAGGTAAAAGAGTTTCTTTGGTTCCCCAATAAAACTTTTGAACATGATGGCCACCAAAGGGATAGATCATGCACGCAACAGAGGGTTGTTCACGCTTGCACATAAAGTCAAAGTCAAACATTCCTTGAACAGCGCGAGGCTGCATGCCATAAATGAAGGCCCGAGATGTCTTGGTAAATGGAATGTCGGTGAGCAGATGTTGATCAAGTATGGAACTGGTTGCCTGGTGCACAACGCCACTTGGAGCATTGCTGCTGTTGGAAGTGGAAGAGGGCTCAGAAAGACCAAGCAAATTGGCATTGGAAGCATCAGTGCCAATGAGCACATTTGAACCCTTGGCATCTCCCTTGAGAGCAAGAGGCACGATGCCAGTGACATGCATCTCTGGACCAAAAACGTGAATATCGAGTCCAAGAGTGTCGCCAACAGTGCGCATCAAACGCAGACCTTCTTGGAAATTGGGACCAGCACGACGCACATAGATCTTGACGGCATGATTTTGCAGACGCTGCTGGAATTCGCGAAGAGCACGAATGATACCTTTAAAGGTAGCAGCAACATTGGTAAAGTTGGCAATACCACCACCAATAAACAGAAACTTGCCCTCTGGATGAGGAGCACCACGTGTCATCAAATCCAAAATGGTCTTGGCATATTCATAGGTCTGACTTTCAGAAGGTGCACCAGAATACTCACCATAGTTGGCAAGTTCATGGGCAAAGCCATGAGCAGCAATGGCATCAGAGTAAACGACCGATGCACCGCCACCAGCAACCATGGTCCAGATACGTCCAGAAGCATTCATGACTGTTAATTTAAGAGACGCACCAGTTTTTGCATCAAGATCGGCAATGTAGGACTCCTCTTTGGTAAGCTCACGTCCAAATGGAGCAGGAAATTGAATAGCTGGACCAAGCAAGCTGGATGGATCGGACGCATAAGCAATACGCAATCCATCAGACCATTTTTTTCCACATTCAAAATCAGCAGTCTGGTCAAGCTTGGCAGCTAGATCCAAGTAGAATATTTGAGCGGGGGCACTGCCAACAGGGTCCAAGACAACCAGTGGGTTAATTTCCAAATAAGTGAACTGTAAATCGACATAGACAGCATACAGACGAGAAATGAAATGAACTAGAGTATCAACTTTTGATGCAGGAATATCTATTTTGTTGAAATGATAGAAAGGACATGATCAGTACACGTAGATGATTCAACGACACACATGCCAATAGTATTTACCAGAAAGAAGAGCAGCAACAACATCCTTTGTGGTGGGTATAGTGCTTCCAACAGGAATCAGCATTTTGCGAGCCTTGGCATCAACATCACCGACATCGACACCTCCTTCATGAGTAAAGAAGATTTGATCACCATCACGAACAGACTGAATGCAAATGTAAAACTCCGAGTCTTGTGGATGCGGACAAAAAGGCTCAACCAAGAAAGTGTGTAGATATCCAGTACTACGATCAATCTTTTAACAAATAGTTTAGCCATGAGTTTGACAGGATATGCGGTGAATCTGGTGGTTCCGCATGCCGCTGCTCGGTCGATTTGTAATACACGATCTACAAAGCAACACCAGCAATGCTTACCTTGATCTTCTTGCCTGCTCTGGCTGAAATCCAAGCCTTGACAGCATTCCAATCTAGATTAATGCCTAGCAGACCATTCTTTCCTCTGCGTTTAACCAGCTGATCAGGTTTGCATACTAGACGACAACCAGAGAGTAACCAAGGGTGTTTACTTTCTGCAGCTTGAAAGACTGCTGCCATATGAGTATCAAACATTTTCTGAGCCTGTGCAGCAACTACAGACGCGGGAGGAATGCCAGCTGCAGTGGGAGTACCACTACTAGCAACACTGGCTGCAGCCTCAGCAGCTACTAATTCAGATATATCAAATACAAGAGAAGCCATGCGAGTAGAAACAGCATGATCGATCGTAGTAGCAGATGGATTGCTGGCAGATTGGTCAACAAACGATGCACTACACAATGGCAGCCAATGGGCTAATAAGTGTTTCCCGGAAAACTCAGAAATGGCCTTTGCAGACATGATGAATATGGTATGACAGTGATAAGAATGAAGATGAAGATGCGATTCAGATCTATCAGCAAGTAAATTATCGCCTTGTTGCTTTCTTGTTGTATTTATAGAGATTCAAGCGGAGAATCTGTAATCTCCACCTGTCAAGATTTGACTGCACTTCAAGACTGTCAACAGTTGGTCATCAAAGTCTTTGGATTACAGTTGGCAACAGAAACAATGACGGGTGACTATCACCATCAGTGTGTATCATATATCAAGTTTTTGAATACATTCACACTCTTGGTTCTTGTTTGATGATCTCAAACATCAGTAGATGGCTGGTTTGAATGGCAGTATAGATTGCTCGCATCTCCTGTGTCGCGGCGATAATCAGACTTGTTGACACGGCCAGTTTGCTGAACAATCCGCTGCTTCTCGATTCAGTACAGAACAGCGTCCCTCATTTGATATAACGGCGACGGATTGCTGAGCTTGATGATCTTGTTTTGACGAACTCGGCGTTTCATCTAGTCTATATTAATCAATCACGCAGTTTTATAAACTCTCGTTTTCGAAACATGATGAAAAGTTTCCTATATAATCGAAAAACCGATTTTCAGGATTCTCGTTTCATTGTTGCTAGCTATAATAAAAGTGATTTTGTAAAATATAAATTCCATCAATGCTCGTTTGATTCCAAACCGTCATGGACTCTTTTGAGCTTTTTTAATCCTTTCTATATGCCACTGATGCATTCGTCTCTATTTATAATACTGTTTTGGTTATAAGCAACATTACAATATTGGCTTGTTTGACAAGATATGCGCGCTTCCAGCCCGTCTATTCTGAAACATGCTTTGTCGAGTTATAAACGGCTGAGCCGCTTGAACTCTTGCCAATAATGCCAAGTTACATCTAGTTCTACATAACTGCATCCTACTTACTGTTTCTATACTCTGCTGTTTCAAGTATTTTAGATTTTCCTATAATAGCACTCACCAACTATTTGTATAGTTCAAGGTTAAATCATATCATGCCAACAAAAATTTGCAATGGCCAACATCAAGCTCAATCGCTCCTTGCTCTGCCAGTTGAACTCATTCTAGACATTGCCGATCATCTCGATGCACCGGCTCTTCATACTCTAGCCCAGGTTTCCAGCTTCTTGCGATCAAACCTACTTCGACCTTCAATGCTTTTCTCTTTTGCTCCTCGACTCCCTCACCACAAGCAAGACATTACCATTTCGCATCCATTTGCTTCCGACCATCCAATAATTACATTTACTCAATCCCATTCCAAATCAAAACTCAAATGCATGGTATATGATTCTTTTGGCGAGTCAAAAGAAAGCAATGGCGATCAGACAGACCAGACTGTTCGGCAGGTATATCATGGACTAAGAAAGCGAGGTGATAGGTGTTGCTTTTCTCGTATGTCACTGCTGATGCAACGCTCATTGTCATCCCTCTTACAACCATATTCACGTGTTGTATCCGTGCCGTCTTCCATCTCGACCCACGCGGTTTCCTGCAGCAAGTTTCAGGCTGTATATTTCGAAGTCACTGTCATTGATTTGAAATGGTCTTCCAAAAACGATATGCAGGATCTACCAATGCGTATCGGGCTAGTCGCTGCTAAAGATATGATAGACCATAACCATCCACCTGGATCAATCCATAACAGTGTTGCGTATCGTAGCAACGATGGATACGTAGATCTTGGTCAACGTCATGGCGAACTGTTTCAATTTGCTCCTGCTTGGGGAAATGGGGATACAGTCGGGTGTGGATATGCACGCTTGGCCTCGGATCGCGGTACAGTGTTTTTCACTCTCAATGGACGCTGGGTCGGAGATGCACCATTTCAAGTGGTTTGTGAAAAGATTGACTATAAGCAGATGTGGCATGCAGCTGTCAGCTCAGCCGGACATGCTACTATGGCAATCAATTACGGTCAGAGGCCATTCAAGTTTCAGATGGGTGATGGATCTGAAGTCCTCCAACTTGCATCGCGCAATCGACTTTATCCAGACTTGAGTGAAAAAGCGAGTTTAAAAAAAGCTACCATGAATGAGTGGGTCATGGAACCCAACTGCTTTGAATCCTGTTCAAACACTACCGTGTATGAGCCTGCTGTTGTATCTAATCACGGATGCACCATTCAGTTTGTTGAGTGTAACAACAACTTTGCTCGATCTTGTTTGTCTGCTCTTCCTTTTGGCTACAATCATAACTTGGCTCTCAAAAATGCAAATGGTAAAAGACTCTTGTATCAGTATTATGAAGTAACTGTCACATCTGCAGGACTAGGATATAATTCGTTTATGGCTGTCGGACTTGCAACAAAGCCCTATACACCATTTCACCAGATTGGATGGAGTCCATATTCGATTGGATACCATAGTGATGATGCGCGTATCTTCAATAATGCCTTGCAACATGGAGTTGTCAGTGGCAAGCCTTACAGCACAAATAGTACGATCGGATGTGGATATTGTCCCGAAGCCGGATTGGTGATTTTTACGCAAAATGGTGTCAAGTTGGCTCAGGAGGTTCGGATTGAGCAGCATTGCTATTATGCTGCCGTGAGTGCTGCACATGCATGGGGAGTCATTGTTAATTTTGGACAATCGCCATTTGTATTTGCCAATGCCAATCAATATAATTTGACTTGATATCTAAATATAAATTTGATTGCAAATAACACTTGCCAAGTACTTTTTTTAGAAATTTGCATTTTTGTCGAGTTATTTACGTATACATAGTAGTATAATTGCCATACTTGTTAAAGATTACTTGAATAGATTTACCATGCATTCAAATAAAGAAACCTGCATCTACTTTTGACATTTTGCACCAAATCTTGTTTAAAAGCAAATATATTGTGTGCTCTCATACTACTCATGTATGCAAATTTTTGTTTAAAACTGAGTTTATTATGTTGATTATTGCTGTCAATCTATTGTTTAATTTGAAACTAAATCAATCCTCGTCATGAACCTTGGCAAGAATCTAATTTCAACAAATTATAAATCAATAAGTACTGATATACGATTTGCCAATATATAGCATCAATATAATATACTTGCATTGATTGCATCCTCGCGCTCATCTGCAATAACCAAATCCTTGTCGAGCCGCTGCAAGTGCGGTAGCCGTCCAATCACCTCCAATCGATATCCTTCAATCTGATCCAAAGGGTTTTCTGAAAGAATAAGTATACGTAGTCCATCCAAAGTCTTGAGCGCATCCACTTGTGCTAAACTAGAAATCTTATTGGCTCTACATTCCATGGATGAATTTATTTGTTGTCGGCATGAAATGAGGGATTGTGAGTATGATGTCAATCAACAGCATTTTACGTTGCATTATAGAAAGTTGAAACGCACCTGAGATTAAGATAGGTTAGGCTCGGCATTTTAAACTGAGTGACCCAATCTAACAGTTCAATTTTGTTGCCTCGGAGATGAAGAAGCTGAAGTGCAGACTTATTTTCCAAACCAGTTATAGTAGCGATCCCATTTTCAGCCTGATTTTAGCATTTACAAAGCCACCCGAGTCATTAAATTGGAATATCATTGCATTACAATAGAATAAATGTAAATCGGTTTACCAAATACAAACGCTGCAGTTTTGGAGTGTTGCAAGTGATACCGTCAGACAAACTATTGCCACGAGCTTCCAGATGCAAGAGCTCAGGAAACCCGGGTAAACTTAATTCCTTTAGCATATTATCTAGATGTTTTACAGAATAAATGGTTGGCAAAACTCCTCATTCAGCAAACATGTTGAAATCAAACTCATTCAACGCATCACCATTTAAATTCAGCCATGACAAGATTGGCCATGATTGAATTTTAAACTCGGTCAACTGGTTTTTGGATACATTCACATGCTGAAGGTATCGTTTGTTTTCCAAAACGCTCGGAATTGTTTTTAAGCAGTTGCTAGACACGTTAAACGAAAGGAGGTATTCCAGCCCGTTTAGCGCATCAATTGAGTCAAGTTTATTATGAGCACAGTCCTACATGAAATATATATCAATATTTGTATTTAGCGAACCCTAGACAAATTCTAGCTATTATGGGTAGACACTTGGAGTTGTATAAAATATTCCGTCTTTCTACCTGCACAAATGATAAACCAACAGCAGATTCAACTACACCAGCACATTTTGATTACCAAAAGGCATGGCATATATTCAACTACACACATACCACATAGCGAAGATGAGGATACGCTTCAATAGAATCTAAACTAGTAATTCCAGCTTCGTGTATTTCTACTCTAGCATAAGCATATGTTAGCCCATTTCCAGTACGTGTAATCAACGACATGGACTTTGCCATCAAATCTGCTGTTAGAGGGACGTTTTCTATTTGGCTGTTTTCAACAGCGTCTTCAGTTGTGGAAGCTAGGGTGGGTGATAAGAGCGATGGGTCATCATCGAAGATATCATCTGGTTCTGGAATATTTTCTTGTGCGGCTTGGTCATGGTCGTCATCCATCTTTTTTAGGCTGCTAAAAAGGTTTAAAATCAACCCGCGATTTGCATGTAGTCAATTCAGCCATAGCATCACATGATCATTAGATTATTTATAGCTGTATTTGCTTGAAATGAAACTGCAATGACTGTATTTTGCTTTGGAACACAATAATTGAACATTCGTTGCACATTCTTGATAAAAATTGGCTACTTTGACATGATTGATTCTTCAAAACACAATGGCCATCATAGGGTATAATTAAACCATCGCTTCGAATCCTTCCCTTGCTCTCGTTTGGCATAGCCATATATTGTATGAGCATAAAAGGCCAAAGAGTTCCGACACGATATTGTGCACTTTGGTACCCTTATTTAATGTTCTATTTGCGTGAATACAGCCATGACTAGACTTGCACGAGACAATTACCCGTGCAGATGTGAAACATATGCTCAAATATATGTCAGTGCATGTATATAGCTAATAAAATACAAATCAAGCTATGTACGACTCATTGACAACTCATGCTTTGGCGGACCACGTTGCCTGAATTGAGCTTACATGGCGTCATAAATGTGGTAATTGGACATAAACTCAAACACACAACCCGCTAATTGTATTGCAAAAATACCCTTTTAATATTTAAAATATATAATGCAGGCCAAACTCTATTTTCAGTATCATACCGCTTTGTTAATCGGTCGAATTTAGAAGTTGTAAAGAATGATTGCAAGTGCACTGATTGCCTTTTTGGTGATAGCTTCTACAGCAGCTTCCACCTTCCCGTTGCACATTGCTCCTACTATCCGCGATGCTCTACGTAGACAGGGTCTAAGCTCAAGTGATGCTCGCATGATATACAAAATGGGTGCTCCAATCATGATCAATCCAATCTCTGTCAATCGTAAGTCTTGACATTAATTTGATACGATTAATTACAGTTTCAATTGGCAACCCAACTCAAAAGCCAACTCATATACTTTGATTCTAGTTGTTTATTATGGTAATTGGACCCTCAATCAGAAATCTATTATCGAAGATTTCATTCATGGCATTGGTAAATCCGATTGGTGGAAGACCGAGCGCAAATACTACTTTCAAGCAAACGCCAGCGCTCCTCGGTACCACATCAGCGATCAAGTTACTCTTGGCACCACTGTCGATGACAACTACTCGATGGGGAAATCCCTTTTAGGAAACAACATCACCGACATTATCCAAAAGTACATTAATGATGGCACATTTGCTGCATCTACCGATACTATCTACTTTGTTCTTACTGCCGGTGATGTACAAGAAAGTAGTTCTGATTCCACTGGAAACTATGGGTTTTGCAGTGCCTATTGTGGCTATCACTCGTCCTGGAAAGCCAATAACCAACCAGAATTGTATTTCAGTATGGCAGGCAATCCATCTGGATGTCTAAACACTTGCGGTACACAACTCAATAGTGAACTCTCTCCAAATGGTGACCTTGCTATCGACGCTATGCTTTCTGTAATTGCCCACGAGATTGCCGAAACAGCTTCTGATCCATCTCAGATTACTGCATGGATGGATACCGATAGTCAAGAAAACTGTGATAAATGTGCTCATCGTTTTGGCAATACTACTATTGATGCCAATGGCGCTAACTTCAATATGGGATGGAAGAATCGTAAATTCCTTATTCAAATGAACTGGGACTTGGAAAGCACCGAGTGTGTAGTTGGTAGCCCTGGGTACACCCCACCATCTTTGCCGCCAAAAACTACCACATCTGTATTACCGAAAACTACCACGTCTGTATTGCCAGAAACCACCATTTCTGTATTACCGAAAACTACTGCTTCTGTATTATCGAAAACTACCGCTTCTGCACTACCAAAAACTACCATTTCTGTATTGCCGAAAACTACCACTTCTGTATTATCGAAAACTACCACTTCTGCACTACCAGAAACCACCACTTCTGTATTACCGAAAACTACCATTTCTGTATTACCGAAAACCACCATTTCCGTATTGCCAGAAACTACCATTTCTGTATTGCCAGAAACTACTGCTTCCGTATTATCGAAAACTACCGCTTCTGCACTACCAGAAACTACTACTTCCGTATTGCCAGAAACTACCATTTCTGTATTACCGAAAACTACCACTTCTGTATTGCCAGAAACTACCACTTCTGTATTGCCAGAAACTACCACTTCTGTATTGCCAAAAACTACCACATCTGTATTACCGAAAACTACTGCTTCTGTATTATCGAAAACTACCGCTTCTGCACTACCAGAAACTACTGCTTCTGTATTGCCAGAAACTACCACTTCTGTATTGCCAAAAACTACCATTTCCGTATTGCCAGAAACTACCACTTCTGTATTACCGAAAACTACTACTTCTGTATTACCGAAAACTACCGCTTCTGTATTGCCAGAAACTACTGCTTCTGTATTACCGAAAACTACCGCTTCTGTATTGCCAGAAACTACTCGGCATAGTACACATACTCCACGATCCACAAAAACTGGTTCGCATAGTAGACATACTCCACGATCCACAAAAACTGGTTCGCATAGTACACATACTCCGCGATCCACAAAAACTGGTTCGCATAGTACACATACTCCACGATCCACAAAAACTGGTTCGCATAGTACACATACTCCACGATCCACAAAAACTGGTTCGCATAGTAGACATACTCTGCAATCTACAAAAACTGGTTCGCATAGTACACATACTCCACGATCCACAAAAACTGGTTCGCATAGTACACATACTCTGCGATCTACAAGAACTGGTTTGCATAGTAGACATACTCCACGATCCACAAAAACTGGTTCGCATAGTACACATACTCTGCGATCTACAAGAACTGGTTCGCATAGTACACATACTCCACGATCCACAAAAACCACTTTGCATAGTGAATCCACTTCCCAGTCCAAAGAAAATACTACCAAGGCTACACCCAAGTAAATCATTACACAACAATCCTGATTTTATTCCAAAACGTATTCACGTAAAATAAAACACTTTTCTGTATTGATCTTGCAACGATTCTATCTTGCTCTGAAATAAACAATGGTTACACATTCACTGTTTTTCTAGTAAAAATACATTTTTTTCATAAAAACTCTGTTGTACTCTAAAAACTCGGATACATTCGCGTTCTAGTCCAAGAAACCATCTCAGGAATGCAACTGTTGTTTGCATACCAATCACATAATGCATACCTGAAATAAAGGGAGAGTTTGAGACCAAACAAGTGTGAAATATACTGAAACAGATGCAAACGTTCGTTTAGTTTATACAAAATAGACACAGGACACTTCCAAAAAGTTCAAAAACATAATATGGTTCAATAGATTTGGTATTCATCATTTCATGAAACTGGTGGTTTATCATACATTTGGATGCCCTTATGTATTGACCCATCTACATGAATACAGCTGTAATGTTCGATATCGCGATTGTATTGTAATGGGAATTCTCGAACACGCGTGGAACGAGACTTGCAATTTTTTACTATTTGATTCATAAAATCATTACAATTGACAGATTATCAGGATGGCGACCAAGAATGCCATGCAGGCTAATGATCAAGAAATAAGCGATGGAATGGGTAAGCACTATACATTTATTTGCTCGACTATTTTGCTACGGTTTAGACATTATAGCTAGATTAGCTGGTTTAAAAGCTAATTTACTTGAGCCAGTCAGTGTATTTTGACTTGTATTACCCTAATGGAAAGTCAATATGCGCAATATCAATACATTCTTTATTTTTGAAAAATCGTGTATAAGCAATATATCCAAATGGGTCGACTGAAATTGAGTCGGACCATTTAGGATTTGCTCAGAAAGACTTGTGAATATATCATGGATATACTATCAAACATGAATACAATGCCAATGTATTATTTTGATATATAGTTGGTGAATGGAAGCAGTCACCCTACTATCCAATTCATACTTTTTTGAATAGAATGCTACACATCAAGCTTTCTGCTTTGACTTGACATGTTTGATACCAAGCATGTTTTTTGTATTGACAAATGGTCAACCTAAAGTTCAATTCAAATACTAACTATTTATATGCGTGAAATGGTATGACCAACAACTCGATACAATCATTGTAAATTCTTGCACACATTAATCATGTGGATTCAAAGCCGAGATTGAGTTACAGAAATTACAGCGCCAGTATCGTATTATGGAAGGTGACCGAAAAGCTTACAGTGAAGAATCTCGAATCCTCATTGGAAAGCAAAGGTCATTATTTTTTGATACCCACCCACAACCCATGATTTTGTTTGTGCTAATAGAATGAATGGCGTAAATAGGTATGCAATTGAAAAACTTCAAAAGGATAATGATCACTTGCAAAACGAGTTGAGACTTTTGGAGCAAAGAAGTGAAGACAAGCGTAAAAATGGAATCCAGAGCAAAAAAGCAGAAAGCATGGCAGAACAGGCAGGCAAGTCATTACTATATATGATTGTGTTTGAATATAGATTGCGAATTGATATCACAATCAGCACATGATATGTATCTGAACAAGTCTGAATGGATTGGGTTGTGTCAACGTGTAGAATGAATACTGATACAAAGTATTTAGATTTGCTACAACGGAAAATAAAATTTATTCTTTCACAGATTACCGAGCTAGATCAAGAAACGACTAAAATAAATTCTGAAATTGATGTTCAAAGATCCAAACTTGGTGGTGTGAATGCTGCAAGTCAAAACAACGATGCTGTTGGAAAGCAAGTGCGTGTATTGGAGAACCGACTTGACAAGGTACCTTTCAAACCTAATCACGCCGTGAAAATAGTGTTCATGTACTAAAATAGATCAAATATTGATTTAAACTATTGCAAAACCCATAGGCACTAGTCAAGTTTAACAAATCGCTTGCAGTAAATAAGCGGCTCCGAGCAATTATTGACAATCTTCGTCGAGAGCGTCTTGTGTTTGACAATATCTACCACAAATTTGAGCGTGAGCTTATCGAGCAAAAAAGACAGATGGCAGATATCATTGAAACAAGTAATGCTGCTTACGAAGCAAGGTGGGAATCTTTGAGTATTTTCGTGCTACAGAGATACATCAGTCAAGCATAGTCTAACTACATTGTTAATAATAGAGATGAGGCCCAAACAAAGATTATTGCGCTGCGTGAAAAGGCTGAAAAGGAGCATCAATCATATATTCAAGAAATCAAGGAACTTGATCGTTCTCTTGAACAAGATCGTAAGCTCAAGGAGTTTATGGCCGCAAAGGGATCTGACAGATCCGAACGTGCTGACGGCAACCGTGAGGGTGGAAAAAAAGGTGAGTTTAGAACAAGAGTTGCAATTATTATGCATCTGGTTCAATCGACTCAACTGTTATACATATACAGGCGAAAAAGAAAAGCTTTCTGGAGCAAAGTTTCCATCCCAAGAAAATCTCACTGTTCCTCTGGACACTTACAAAAGTGCCTTTTCCGAGATTCGTAAAGTAACTGGTATATCTGACACGGGTGAGCTAGTACAGCGTTTCAAGGGCATCGAGGACCAAAACTTTTCTCTATTCAACTATGTAAACGAAGTCAACAACGAGATAGAAATGAATGCAGAAGAGATGGTTGAGATTCAAAAGCGGATTGATGCAATGCGTATTGAATGCGTTCTGATTGAAGAGTCGCGTAAAATGGAGATGCAAAGTTTAGAAGAGTCGTTGAATGCTTCCAACGAAAAGGCCAATGCACATGAGAAGCAGTACAAAGAGATGACGTCAATCATGAGCGATTTACGCAGTTCAATCGAGGGATTGATTCAAACGTTCCAAAAAACATCCAAGCGTCATGTGTTGTCCACCGACTCGCAAGTTGCCGATACAGAAATTAAAGATAATGCTGCTGATGACGCATCCCCCAGTGTCGAAAATGATTTTTCGATTACCGATCAAGACGGCAATGAGAAATCTCAACAGATTGTACCGGATGAAGCAGGTGACGTATCGCCAGCTAATGATGGCTCTGAAAATGTTGAAACCACAACATCCAATGAAAGCATTGATGAGGCAAGCAAAGATTCAGCCTCCCATTCACACCAACAGTCACATCAGCCAGCACCTTCATCAGCCCAACCTCCGCGCACAAAAAAATCGGAACGTGTTCGTGTTCATCTTGAATTCAATCTACCTTCAGAAAGTATTGGTTCTCAAGGCGTTACTGAAGCCAATCTGATTCAATTCTTGGGTTTGATTGAACACAAGTCAAATGAGTTGCTTACTTTGAATTATTTGATCAATTCGCCAAAGAAAGCGGTAGCACAACTTGCAGGACTTGAAGGGCAAGATGGTGCCATCTCACTTATTGGTGCTGGCGGTGTTGCTGGATTGCTTGGTCAAGGACCCGGTGCTCCAGTTGGTACATTGAGTATTGTTGCTCCCAGCACTGGGTAAGCGCATTGCATTAATGGAGCGAGTTGGCTATTAACTAAGCTACTGACGATATATTTGCTGTTTGAATTGTATTGTGAATTGATATTAGTGACGATCATGATTCTGGTGACAATCAATCCGATGAGGATGATCGTCCATTAACTCGGGAGGAGCTTCGTCAAAAGACACTTCGTGGTGTAAGTCATTGCATTATAGTATGAGATGGCACGCTTTATCAGGCTCAATCATTCAAATAAACTAACCCTGACATCTTATGAATTTACCATGTATAGCTCAACAAGCGAGAGAAAACTGCTACACCCCGACACAAGGCTCAGACACACAAGACAAAGCGTAGGATAGCCATTAAAAAAGAGTAGTTTTAGAATAACCGTGTTGAATCTAAAGGCTGAATGAAAAAGATACAAGTTGACAAGCAAAACCAAGTTTAGTGTACCAACAGTTTTTTTAATTTTTATTACATTGCTATATTTTCAAAAGTAAACAGAACAGACTAAGAAGCTGCATAAATCACCCGCTCCTAAATCCCTGTCGTTTGGTAGTGGCCATGAGATTAGATGCATACTGGTGAAGTAGCCTATTTTCGGCACTTTGCTGGCGATAATCCGATTTGGCTTGAAATACTCTCATTAGTTGCTCTGTAGAATAAGCAAAAATCACATTTCAGAATCAAATACTTGTAGAAATGAACAATGGAAATTCAAAATGTACCTCGAAGATATGACTGTTGGATGAGAGCCTGACGTAAAAGAGCCTCCCTTGCCAATCTAGCGTCTTCTGTATATCCATAATTGATTGTTGATTGTTGTTGGTCGAGACTCTCTGTTGCACAGTCCACTTGTACAGAAGCCAAGCTATTCTGGAGAGTATTGGAAGTTGTCACATTAACAGTTTCGTGCTGAAACAGAGGCTCAGACAAGCTGATTGAGGGTTTCTGACAATCCTGTTGATTTGAACTGTGTTCAGCAACCTCTTGATTGGTATCTCTGGATGTAGTTTTGGCAGTTTGTATCACATTCAAAGTTGCAGAATCTTCTTGCTGTAGAAGTGACTTGGTTAGAGCTGGAGATACATTTGGTGGAGTAGGCAGAAAGTCTGATTCTGCAGATATGCATCCGTATTCAACACTAGTGCTAGCATGGCTCTGCAAACTAGAAATGGATTCGTCATTTTTGATGGTAGCAAGGTCTGATTTGCTGGCCCAAGGGTTAGACTCGTAGTCAGTAGCAGACTTGGCTGCCAAAGAGAGTTTGGATAGTCCAAATGAATCATCATCAGAACACCAACCAACAGAATGTTGCTCATGAAGGTATATATTGTTGTGTAGCTCGTTGGAAGTCTCGGCAGCCATATTCATTATCTTGGCAAACTCTGAATTCAAGACATCTTAAAAGTTTTAGTTTTTATACAAATTGCAATGACTGAAACCGCTCAAGCTGTACAAATGTCTGAACATTTCAAGCAAGTTGCCAGAAGTTCCCACTTGATTGTAGAACAGTCAATTGCTTCAAGATAGAAAAATAAAACTTGAATGCCATTCGAATCATCCAGTACTAACAAGTGTGTATTGCCAAAAGCATGCAACAGCAAATCACTCAATTCTACAAATGGCTCGAGAAAATAAATGTATTTTCTAACCTTTCAAACTACTTCAAAAAACCCTCACAAAGTGGATCGTAAGAAGATGGAATTGAAAATAAGAAACAGATGGCAGTGATCAGGCCTATTCGCCTCGACTCTAGTGAGACTTGGCAACAGTCTTTTCTTCTGAAGGAGCAACGACAAGCCTGGGAACTTGGTGGAAATGATGGAAATCTGGTGGTTGCAGTCGAGCGATAGATGCAAACT